GGCTTCCCCTACACTTCCAGCTCTGAAGTAACACATGCTTTTCCTTTCTTAAACGCAGTTTTATTCGCACCTTCACATCCTGTAAAGCTTCCTTTGCACAACATGTACCCAGATGTAGGTTCCGTCAAAGCCTCAGTAATTGAGTGACAGAGTTCTGGTGTGTAGGCATCAGTGGCTTTGGAAGAAATCCAGCCTGGGTTTAGTAAAAATTAAAGAAATAGATAAGAAACATGATAGATGGCTTGACAGTCAAGGACAGGTTTAATTTGAAGAAAACAAACATGAGAGGGGCTTCTGGCCAAGTTAGGTCAGAGGCACACTCCCTTACAGACTAATAGTTTTTAAGGATTCAGGGTGGGAGAGTTTATCAGAGACTTCGACTGCTTCTTTGTCTCTTTGTTGTGCTTATCTGGGAGGGAGAGTTGTGTCTCTGTTCCCATAACTCTTTCTGCAGATGCAGGCATACCCCACTTTTAGCTTCTTATCTTTTAGCTTCCCTGACAGTGCACCCAAAGGGAAAGGAATGTGCTTATTAAGGCCCACTGTTTAACTGGGGCTCATTGTGTGAGGATGAAGTTGGGCAGTTACCCAAGAGACTTTGCCCCCTCCTCCCTCTGTGCCGGAGCTGTCTTATCTGTGTTTTACTGTCTGCTCTTTCTGGCTGCTTGTAGTTAAAAGAGAAGTGATTTCCTTGAAATGCATGGGGCTACAAAGGGAGCTGGAACATAAATTAGTGGTGTGTGTCTGAGATGTGCTCCTGCTCTGTCAGGTTTGCTTCCTGTCCCTGCCAGTTATTAACTAAGAAACATGGAGAAAATTGCCTAGCTTTTCCAAACTCCATCTTTAAAGTGAGAATAATAACTTTCAAGTTTATTATAATGATTGAAAGAGATAATACATATATTAAATGCCTAGCATATATTAAACCTCATTAAATAGCAGCTACTTTCATTGTTTTCCACACTTAAACATTGTAAACAGATATCATACAAGATTTAATATTGGTAACTAGCTGTCTGAGATCATTAATCCTAAGTACCCTTAGGATACTGTCAAATCATCTGTTGAAATTTACCTGGTATCCTAACTGCTATGCTTACTCACTTTTCCCTCCCTCCCTCCCCACTTCCCATTTCCCTTCCCCTCCCTCCCTCTGTCATCCCCTTCCTTCCTTCTTTCCTCATTTCCTTTCTTTCTTTATTTTTCTTTTTAAGAAATGCCTCTTTATGAAAATATTTCAAAAGGAATTCAAATTTATTGTGAAAAAATGCGCACCAATACAGAAATATAGAGAGGAAAATGGCAACTCATCCTCCTCCCCACACCACCAGCTCCAGTCTCATGCCTCTGGACCGAGGTAGCCAATCCTAAAAGTTTGATCATCTCAGATGCTTATCTATGTGTGTGTGTGCTCTGCACATTGATTTTTTAGTTAATATATCATGTTGGAGAATGTCCACCTTTTTACTTTATATTTATGCAACAACTTAGCAGAGCACAACATTTTAGGGTCTCATTTTCTTGTCCTCAGCATTCAGGACAATTGTCTTCTGGCTGTAAGTAAGCTTGTAAGTCATTCTGATCAAATCATCTCCATCCTTTTTTTTTCCCCAATGGATGCTGAGAATACATTACCATCTCCAAATGTAATGTCAATTCATATTTTTATTTTCTTTGTAGCAGTTCTTGCTTTCAGTATTGTGTTTTTGCAGGACATAAAAATTAATAAAAATTTTATTTTTGTTAGAGTATAATTTTTATCCATAGAAAATGTTCATTTTTAATTTTTCCTCTTTGAAATTATTGCATCCCTTAGTAATGCTGGCATGTCTGCTTTTGTGTTTTTGTATTTTTTGAAATAAAACTTTGTTGATTTTGTCATTTTCAATGCTTTTATGCCACTTAGTTTCAAGGGTATCTTTTATAAGCAGCTTATATCCAGATGTTTTTAAACTAATCTAACAGCCTCTATCAAATAGAAATTCAATACATTCATATATACTGTGATGATTCCAATGTATTTCTTGCTCTTACCCCCTTTTAATTTTATTTTCTATTTTTATGCTTTATTTCTTTTTACATTTTTCCTTGCTTGCTACTAAGTTTTATCCATTTCTTAAATTTCCTCAACACATTTGTGGATTATACATTTTACTTCTATTTTTGGAGCAGTTATCTTAACATTTTATATTTAATTTTGAATAACCTGAGAAATATAATTATACATTCTCCTTATTTGAAGAAATAAATTATTGAGGCAAAAGCCCTTTTGATCATCTCTTTCAATGTCAGTCCTTTCTGTCTATTCCACAATCCAATAGAAAATTATCCATTTATTGTGGTTGTTTCCTGACATTTTGGATATATACTGACATATGTTTACTTTGCTTTATATTGGTCTTCCATAAGTAACATCACCAAGTTCTGCTATTTTTGAAATTGTTTTACTCAACAAATATTTTGAACATCTTCCCTTGTTAATTAACATAGGTGGACCTATTCTTATTGACTGGTAAATAGTAATCCATCGTATGATTAAATGCCAATTTTTATTTGCATTCATGTTAGTGAATATTTAACTTCTTCAAACTTTTTCACTATTGCCAACAATTTGCAATGAACTTACTAGTACTGCCTCCGTGTATACTACTATAGGCTATTTCTATTTTTAATGTTATTGGATACTGCCAAATTGATCTCCAGATTTTATGAAAGATTATTTTTCTCCACACTCTTGCCAGCACTTAATATTGTTAGCTTTTGAAACTTTCACTAATTTTCTGGATAAAAAACGTTATTGTAAATAATTTGCATTTACATGATTATATCTTTTCAAATGTTGGATATTTCACTTGGATTTCATCTTTCATGAGCTGTTTGAGAATATAGTTTAAAACTATTTTCAGTTTTTTTGCTTTTCTGTTTATTCTTAGAAATTACTCATATATTCTGGATTCTAATTTTGTATCTGTTCAATCTGTTGCAAATATTTTTCTCTCAATGATCTCACCTTCTTTAACTTTATTTATGCTGCCTTTATGCTAAGAAGTTCTTGGGTTTTTTTCTTTAATTCTATGTGGTTGTTGCAACTTTTGTCACCCATTCTAGTCACTTCCTAGATTCCCAATGCTACTGTGGTTTGTATGTGTGTGTGGGCACGTGGATTGAATGTATGCAATCATTTCAATTAGCTGTGGAGACGGTATCTGCAGGTAACTGCAGCTTTCCATAGTGAAGGTTTACTGCCATTAGCTGAGACTTTGCCAGGTGCCTGTGAGAAGATGCTAAGCACACTTAGAGTGGAATGTTTTATTATTAAGTCTTGTAGCTCAATGTCATTAACTCCCCCAAATTATCTTGAGTTTCAACAGGTAACAAAAAGCCACAGGCAGAACTGATACTTGATATGACATTTACCATGTCAGCCTGAAAATGGGATGGCAAAACTAAGACATGCCATCTCCTCATTTTCATGCTGAAAAGAAAGAGAATCTGAACAAGTGTTACATTTTTCAATAATGTTTTACTACCAGAATAAATGAACTATACTTTTAAAAAATATAACATTTAATTTTTAATTATAAGAGAAGTAGATGTTAATTTTAAAATTTGAGACAATAAAGTTTTATAAGATAATTAAAAGGACCTAAAATCCCACCAGCCAAGACGACCACTGAAGACTTTTTTTTTTTAACAAAGATATTTTGATAAATATGCTTTAGGTTCTGCTTCAATGTCTGGTTTTATGGTTTTTTTTTTTTCCCCTAAAATTTGGCTTATTTAGAGCATGGTATCCTGGAATCTAATCTTAAAAGTTTTTCCGTTAAGCATTTTTCAAATTATCTGATAATTACTTTCATCACAATATGGTTTGCAATCTATTGTTAACCATAACTTATTTAACCAACCTCCTATTGCTTGACATTTGCAGTATATACAAATTGTTTTTAAAAATTCTTGAAATACAAAACCTTTTATTGATTCATTACATTTTGACTATTCCTTAATAAAAAGAAGTGAATACTCTAATCAGATCTAAGTGAATTTTTAAAAACAGTGTGTGTTTGTATAAATCTTCAAGTATAGTGTTAAACAATTTACTTCTGATGTGTTCCTAGATCAGAACTACCCTATGGAGAGTCCAAATTTGGTGTTTTTGCAATCTTCCTTTGCAGAAAGTTAGCTCGAGTAATTCATAAGCAGTACTACTTTCTCTGGACAGAATAAACTAATTTTTCTAATTTAATTTGTTTATATGTTTAATTATTTTAAAAGTCAAGAAACTGAAGCTACAATATTCAACACTTAGTTGACTAAATGGGAGGAATTCCTGGAGGTGTTCATTTAGAAAATGTGGATTTTAAGATATGCAAGTAAGGGCACTACCTCTATAGCGTTTCCTGAAATCTATGTCAACATTGATTGTGAAAAATGCCATTATTTTATGTATCACTGAGAAAGACCACAGTGGACGTGGTGGCTCACGCCTGTAATCCCAGCACTTTGGAAGGCTGAGGCGGGCTCACAAGGTCATGAGATCAAGACCATCCTGGCCAACATTGTGAAACCCTGTCTCTATTAAAAATACAAAAATTAACTGGGTGTGATGGTGGGCGCCTATAGTCCCAGCTTCTTAGGAGGCTGAGGCAGGAGAATTGCCTGACCCCGGGAGGCAGAGGTTGCAGTGAGCTGAGACTGTGCCATTGCACTCTAGCCTGGTGACAGAGCAAGACTCCATCTCAAAAAAAAAACAAAGACCAAACATTGCCAATTAAATGATAATATGCCATCAGTTGTAAAAAAAAAAGTGAAAAAATATGTCTTAAACATGATAAAAATAAATGATGTTAACATGCTGAAATCCTAATATTAGTAAGAATGTGAAGATTGGCATCAACAATGCAATCTTCCTACCTGCACATAGATTTCGCTATTCAATGAGTTTGATTCAGTAGCTCATTAACTGACTGTAGACTCACTGTTTCTCCTGTCTCTTCCAGGTGTGGGGAGGATGTCAGGCAGGACCAGCAGCAGCTCCTGGAGGGGATCTCAGAGTTGGACATCAGGACAGGGGGAGTCCCCTCACAGCTGCTGGTGCATGGAGCCCTGGCCTTCCCTCTGGGGCTGGATGCCTCACTCAACTGCTTCCTGGCAGCTGCTCGCTATGGCCGAGGCCGTGTGGTCCTGGCTGCCCACGAGTGCCTGCTCTGTGCTCCCAAGATGGGGTCCTTCTTGCTCAATGCGGTGCGCTGGCTGGCCAGAGGCCAGACAGGCAAAGTTGGGGTGAACACAAATCTAAAAGATCTGTGTCCCCTCCTATCGGAACACGGCCTGCAATGCAGCCTGGAGCCCCATCTGAACAGCAACTTGTGTGTCTACTGCTGCAAGGCGTACAGTGACAAGGAGGCTAAGCAGCTGCAGGAGTTTGTGGCTGAGGGTGGGGGGCTGCTGATTGGGGGCCAGGCCTGGTGGTGGGCCTCCCAGAACCCTGGCCACTGCCCCTTGGCTGGTTTCCCTGGTAACGTCATCCTCAACTGCTTTGGCCTCAGCATCCTGCCTCAGACTCTCAAAGCAGGCTGTTTCCCCGTTCCCACCCCTGAGATGAGAAGCTACCACTTCCGCAAGGCGCTCTCTGAATTCCAGGCTATCCTGAACCATGAGAATGGGAACTTGGAAAAGAGCTGTCTGGCAAAGTTGAGAGTTGATGGTGCAGCCTTCCTACAGATTCCTGCGGAGGGGATCCCTGCTTACATATCCCTGCACAGGCTCCTGAGGAAGATGCTACGAGGGTCGGGCCTCCCAGCTGTAAGCCGGGAAAATCCAGTTGCCAGTGACTCCTATGAGGCTGCCATGCTCTCCCTGGCCACTGGGCTGGCTCACTCTGGAACTGACTGCTCCCAGCTGGCCCGGGGGCTTGGCACCTGGACCTGCTCCTCTAGTTTGTACCCCTCAAAACACCCCATCACTGTGGAGATTGACGGAATCAACCCAGGTATGAAAACAGGAGAGAATGCCCAGAACATTAAAGACATAGGGGAAAGTGGGATTGGCTGACACTACACAGGACATTGCAAGTACTTACCTACAGGAAGATTGACCCCATTTTTTTTTTTTTTTTGAGACGGAGTCTCACTCTGTCACCCAGGCTGGAGTGCAGTGGCGTGATCTCGGCTCATGCAACCTACGCCTCCTGGGTTTAAGCAATTCTCCTCTCTCAGCCTCCTGAGTCGCTGGGACTACAGGCACATGCCACCAGGTCCGTCTAATTTTTGTACTTTTAGTAGAAATGGGGTTTCATAAGCAGTAAGAGAAATAGCATAAATGCATAATAGTAAGGCTGGTCTGGAATTCCTGACCTCAGGTGATCCACCTGCCTCGGCCTCCCAAAGTGCTGGGATTACAGGCATGAGCCGCTGGGCCCGGCAGACTGCATTCTTTATCAGGTACTTTCAAGAAGATGGGGGCTGGGACTCTGCTTAAGGTTTAGGAGGGATGAGTCTAAGGAGAAGTGTGGATGACTTGAGATACACAGGGGAGAAGCTGTGCCACTGGGAGAGGCTGGGAGGCCCCAAGTGGAGATAGAGTCACACGGGAAGGAAGAACTGAGCCTTCTCTATGACTTTTGTCAGGCAACAGTGATTGCTGGGTAAGTACCGGGCTCTACCTCCTGGAAGGACAAAATGCAGAAGTCTCACTGTCTGAAGTTGCTGCCTCTGCTGGCCTACGGGTAAGGTCTGAACACCCACATCTGCCACCCCTCAAAACCCTAGAGCTGTGTCATTCTCATCCACTGTCTAGTTCCAGCTCATGGCAATGCTGCCAGGAGTACAGAGGTGGATTATTCTGCCCATTTTACAGATTTTACAGATGAAGGAGCTAAATTTTAGGCCATCTAAGTGAGTGACTGAAGTGCCTAGTATTATCAAGCAAAAGAAGCTCACTGCAGAATGGACTAGAAGCCAAAACTATGACACTTGAATTTTTCATTTTAAAAAAAGCATTTTATTGCAATTGGACTAACAAGGAGACAGGAGCCCAGCTCAAATCTGTCCCATTGTACTTAAAGAGTTACTTTATTAGAAAAGGTTTAGGGGGTGGATGATGTGATTAGTAGGTGACTGACAGAAGGAAAAGGAAGGGCTGGGAATCCTCGGGCATGGGCAGTTACCTCTTCGTGCCTCCTCATGGGTCCCACGTGCAAATTCAGAGGGAGTTAGTGTGAAACATGCGGTAGAAATTTGGGCTGGGTGTCAGCAAGCTCATTCTACACAAACTCTGGTTTTATCTCTTTATCTTGACATCTGAAGGGTGTGAAAATCCCATCACTCCCCAAAATATGGCCTACATGCAGAATTTAAATTTATTCGGCCTCCTTGACTCTGAGGGCCACTTCCTACCACAGCTAGGGCCTCTTTTCTGTCAGCATTCTTTCTGGAGCTTGCTTATATCAAAGCTAAGAAAAGCAACTCCAGGACTCCAGACAAAACAGATCTCCACCCATCTGGCAGCCAGAAAGGGAAGCTCTGGACAAAGAGGGAGAGAGAATCAACCTCATTCACTCTGAATGGGCCTCCTGTGTGTTCACAGAGGACAGAGCACAGTCCCCCAGCTCATCCCCAACATCAGCATCACCAGACTGGCTTAGGTCCTATTAGAAGAGCCCAGGATTTTGCCTGGCAGAAAGACAGAAGACCTTTGCCAGGATTAGCCTGGTCTCTCACCAATTCATGTTAGGTGAAGATTTATGGTGGAGCTGTTTAAATCCTTGGAAAAATGATTTTACATGCTTTGAAGTCCAGATGACTTTGGACTGCTAAAATTGAGAAGTTTCCATGCCTAGCACATAGATAAGGGAAGCTGGGGTTTCATGGGCATGTTTGTCTAATATCTTCCATCTAAACAACCTCACACGCACATCACAAGGATTCTAATTCCTCCATCACTTGGTGGAATCACCTGTCCAGGTACAGATTGGCTGCCACACCGATGACCTAACCAAGGCCAGGAAGCTATCTCGAGCCCCCGTGGTGACTCATCAATGCTGTATGGACAGGACTGAACGGTCAGTCTCCTGCCTCTGGGGCGGCCTCCTCTATGTCATCGTGCCCAAGGGCAGCCAACTAGGCCCTGTGTCTGTCACTATCAGGGGGGCTGTGCCTGCCCCATACTACAAGCTGGGTAAGTGGAATGAACATCTAGGGAGGAGGAAGAGCGGCAGATGCCATGGAAACTGTGGGATGGTTGCTAAATGGGAGAGAAATAAGGTTTGGTGGAGAGAAAGAGGAAGAACTGTTGGGGGAGAATGTGGAGGCAGGAGATATGGAATACCCTGTGTCCATGGATACTTCAGAGCAGACAAAGAGAAGAGTTAGGAAGCGTTTTCTTCACTTTATAGCCTATAGACCCCTGTGATAGGAGTTCATTATTGCAATGTTCTTCCAGAGTTCAGATGGTATTTTTCAGCTCAAGGGAAGTTGGGCAAGTGGGTGTGGTAGGTTCCATGATATTTATTCCCAGGTAAGACATCACTAGAAGAGTGGAAGAGGCAGATGCAGGAGGACCCAGCTCCGTGGGGAGAACTGGCCACGGACAACATCATCCTGACAGTGCCAACCACAAACCTCCAGGCCCTGAAGGACCCCGAGCCTGTGCTCCGCCTCTGGGATGAGATGATGGAGGCTGTGGCCAGGCTGGCGGCTGAACCCTTCCCTCTCCGCCGTCCCGAGAGGATTGTGGCTGATGTGCAGATCTCAGCTGGTGGGTGCTCCCAGGGAATCCTCCTAGTCAGTGGAAACCATGTATCTATTACTTTGCCTTTTATGAACGTCCAAGATGTGTAAGCATAATTTTATTAGTAAAGCAAGGGAAAAAGATATAAAAGACATTGACCACAATGGGGATGAAAGAATGTTTACATGTGAAAAAAACAAATTATTGATATCTACAAGGTGAGATTTCACCAGATGGTAGAACAATCTCAGAAAAAGTTGTACTGCGAATTAATAGATGGCAACCAGAGTCATTTCAAGGACAGCATAGAAAATCAACTATTTTCTTCAAACATAAGCCAAGTTGGAAATGAAAAGAGGAAATACGTAAGGAGGTTTATGGTAAGTACTGAGTGATTAAAAAGAAGGAGGTGCATAGGAAGAGAAATAAGGAACTCCGGATCCCACATGGGGAAAGTTCATACCTCAAATTTCATAGCTTCAAATAAGGACAAAAATTACCTCTATCATAGAGTATAAATTTGGACAAAAATAGTATACATGGGGAAGAAAGAATGACACTGTTCTAGCCCTCAAGGATCTCAGATCCAGTCATAGGACATCATATATCAGACTGACATGTAAAGGACACTCACACACACAAAATGAAGGTGTCAAATTACAGCAAGAATGACTATGTAAAGTGTAACCGTATTCTCCGGGGCCAGAGTGAGGAGGAGGCCACAACTCAGATTTGAGAGGCTAAGAAGGGGATTAGGTACTATTGAGTTTCTGACCAAGTAGGAGAAAGCTATTTGCTTTCCAATCAGCACAGAGATTCTGCAATTATTAGGGATAACCAGGATGGTGAAGAAAAGTCCCATAATAGAGAAGAATGAAGGAGATAGTTTGGGCAGACCCTCCTCAATGCTCATCTCTTCCTTCTGTGTTCCCAGGCTGGATGCATTCAGGATACCCCATCATGTGCCACCTGGAGTCTGTGAAGGAGATCATCAACGAGATGGACATGAGGAGCAGGGGTGTGTGGGGCCCCATCCATGAGCTGGGCCACAACCAACAGCGGCACGGATGGGAGTTCCCCCCACACACTACTGAGGCCACCTGCAACCTTTGGTCAGTCTACGTGCATGAAACAGTCCTAGGGATCCCCAGGGCTCAGGCCCATGAGGCTCTGAGCCCTCCAGAGCGAGAGAAGAGAATCAAGGCCCACCTGGGAAAGGGAGCCCCTCTGTGTGACTGGAATGTGTGGACAGCCCTGGAAACATATCTACAGGTACTGAGCAGAAATTGTGGGAGAAGGGGATGACCAGACCCTTCAGTTATGTAGCGACCTGGATCTCAGTAGCTCTCCAGCTCCTTCACCACCCCACTAGGTCCAGGGACCACCACCTCCCCTGGAAATGAGAGGGACTGGGCCGCATGGTGGTGCTTCTTGGGTTATACCCCTCTAAGGCAGAGAGAATAGCACCTGTCTCACTCACCTTCTGATTTTGCGATGTACGAGGAAATGAAAAATATTATGAAAAAATAGAAATATAGCATAAGTTAAAGAATTTAAGCAACCTGTCCAGTATCCCCCATTTAAGTGAAGGACCTAGAACTTAAAATCAGGACCTAATGACAAGCCCCAGGCTTTCGCATTGCCATACCCTCTCTTAGTTTTTTGTGCCTTTCACTAATTTTGTGAAGAGTGAATGTGAGACAGTCCCAGTTAATGAGGTAACTTTGTACTGCATTCATTTCCGTATCCTTAGATAGCCAGTCTAGGGGCATATAGGACCACTGACCACAATGGTAGGTTGCCCCTAAACTGTAAATTTAAGCCCTGATTCTGTCCTATTCTGCTACCTACCCACTGTGGAGCCCCGAATATCATTTCTCAATAGCTCTAGAGAGACCAAGTCTGGGACTTGGCCTCAAGACAAACAGGCACCTTCTGACTCCTCTTCCTGCTAGAGGGCTTCTCCCCAGCATCCATGCTGCTGCTGCCTTAGCTCAGGCCTCATTAGTCTTCCCTCAGTGTATTCCAGTAGCCTTCTAAATTGTCCTAGCATCTTGCCTCAATCCTCTATGATTCATCTTCCTTACACTCCTTCCAGAATAATGTGAATACTCTGTCTATAAAATGCTTACAGTGTTCTCTAGCACATATAGGGAAAAGTCAAAGCTCATTAGCAGGGCATAGGAGGCCGTTCATGACCAGCCCCACGAGCGCCTCTAGCTACATCTCCTGCTCTCACCTCCACATTTATCCTCCAGCATGCCAATCTGCTTATGCTTACGGACACATCTTGCTGTTTTGGCTTCTGTGCCTCCCCTTGTTTGCTTCCTGCTGCTGAATCATGCTGGAACATCTTGTCCATTAGCTGTCAAGTCACCTGTCCAAATTCAGCTCTGTTGTCCCCTTCTCTCCTGGACATCGCCTCCTTGATAAACGAACATTTTTAATAATGTGTTTATTTACATGTGTTTCTCCCTTTGGCCAGTGTTCTCTAGAAGGACAAGAGCTCTTAATCATGTTTGCCTAGCACAGTAGCTGGCAGGGTCTGGATGTCTAATACATGTTATGTGTTTATTAAATGCTTAATTTATTGATGTATTCATTAATAAGTGTCAAAGAGCAAGCCAATAAGAACAGATGAGCAATAATGAGGGTACAGCAGTGAGACTCTGAGGGAGGCTTGACTTCGATGGTGTTATCTATCCTTGGGCTTTTATAAGCTAGAGTCAGACAATGCTCATCTATTAAAGGGAGAGTGGAGATAGAAACCCCGGATCCCTGCTAACTGGAAATTTGTATAATCTTAGTGAACAGGGGCCTTCTGCCAAGGGCTTTCCGGAGGACTGCCCCTTAAGAAGTATGAGCCACTCTCATTTGTAGCCCCTCAAGACAGGCTGGAGTTTTTTTCTTTTTCTGCCCTAAATGCAGTGTTCTACAGAGCAATTTTGTATCATTGCAGATAGTCACAGGTCCGAGACGTTTATTTAAAAAATAAGGATTAGTATCATACCTGGAAAGTATGGTATTCGAGGTTTGCAGCTTTTAGAATCTCAATAGGCCAAATATGTAGGAAGTGAGGGTTTCTCATCTCAGTCAGGTCCAATCCTGTCCTGATGCGGAGGAAAACACTTGAGATCTGGGAAGACAATTTTTTAAATTAAAGATACTAATAGTGGACATTTATTGAGTGTTTACCTCTATTCAGACATTAGGTTTCCCCTGAGCACCCCCACTAGATTCAGGGGGTAGTGTTTTGTGGCTGAGAGGTGGAATGAGCAATGAAATTGCATTATTGTGCAGGGGTAGAGTGGGGAGATAGGGACACATACCCAGAATGAAGGTAACGATTGAGGGGAGGTGATCATGTGAATGAAATATATTTAAGAACGCACATGTCACATCACTTTTGCAAACATGGCACCTCATTCTGTTCCTTCTTTCCCTTTTCAGCTCCAGGAGGCCTTCGGGTGGGAGCCATTCACCCAGCTCTTTGCTGAGTACCAGACCCTCTCTCATCTCCCCAAAGACAACACTGGCAGGATGAACCTATGGGTAAAGAAGTTCTCTGAAAAAGTGAAGAAGAACCTGGTTCCCTTCTTTGAGGCCTGGGGCTGGCCTGTCCAGAAGGAGGTGGCTGACAGCCTGGCCTCCCTACCAGAGTGGCAGGAAAACCCCATGCAAGTATACCTCCGTGCCAAGGAGTGAAGGATGCCCCGCAAGGCGGGAGAGAAAAAGCAGGGTCACGCTGGCAACTCCACCACGAGGCTTTGGCCATGTGTGCTCAGTATCTGAGCCTGGATCCTGCTTCCAAGCCTGACCACTAGATGGTGGCCAAGGTCATAAGAAAAAATGGAACCCCTTTCTGAAAAAGGTGCTTTGTGCTTCTTTTTATTGTTTTTCTGCTTACACTATTGCTTTCCCCAAGAGACTCACCTCACCTCTTAGTCTCCCAGAGAGGATCTTTCATCCTGCCATCCTGAGGCTTCTATTTTTGACCAGTAGCTCTAAAGACCATGGGTTCCCATAATAACCTGATATCTCTTTCTCATCCCTGCCGTCCCTGAACAAGGCTTCTAATTTATTATGCTTTAAGAAGTTTTCGTATAGCAAGCGAGACACACTGAAATAGTGGAGAGAGCCCTAAACCGGCTTTGGTTCTATGGAAAATCACTTCACCTCTCTGTGTTTCTGTCTCACATCCATGACATGAGCATGCAAATCTTTTCCTCGCACCGCTGTTGTTTGATAATGGTGAACGTGTTTGTGCACCACCACATGCAGAGACATTACGTGTCTATAAGGGTATTCCTGAGATTTCTCCTGGTCCCATAGTGGACTGTTATGGTGTTCAGTCTAGTGTGCACATCCTGGGCACCGAATCTCTCTTCGGTGTTGACCCCCTTGGCGTTAGCATTCAGTCCTTGTATATTTAGAGAATATCAGTGTTTTCCCAGACATGGTAATAATGGTAGTTGTCAGCAGTATCCTAGCCCTTTCTCTATTTATTCTCCCACTTCTGGAATGATTCTCACGTATAACCTAACCCAAAGAAAAATGCCATGTGCTCAAACTGAGGGCTGTGAGGTTGGGTCTTTGGGGTTAGTTCCATCTTCCAGGGTTTGCCCTTTGCCCTTCAACCAAAGGACAAAGTCATGTTAACAGCTGCTACTAAGTCTACATGCCTATTCGTTCATACCACAAAACAGGCATCTGTCACCACGGAATCAAGGCACTTGATGGGGGTGGGGGCTCCACAGGCACAGTGGGCTTCACTCTGGAACAGAATTACTGGGTGCAGCAGACGCAATCCTCACTTCATCAACCCACACCCCAGCACCCTGAGCTTTCTCTTAATCTCATTCTAGCCCATCGTGACTCTTCGGTTAGGAAGGGTTCTCTCCGGAGATTTATCTCTGGGATTAATGGGTGTATGCCTAGCTACTTTCTCCAGTTTACTTTTAGACCATATTATTGTTTGTTTTGAATATCATTCCTTAGGCTTTGTGGAGAGTAGAGTGACTTCCCACGAGGAGAACTAATTTAGGGCATGTCTTTTGCTGAATCCCGTCAGTATATCCTTCCCAATTTTAGATAATTTCTTTTTATATCTCTAGTACCCTTTGCCAGGGGCTTTACACATGAAAGGTGTTCATGAAACATTTGCCAAAGGGAAGAACAGTAATGACACGTAACACGTAATAAGTGATTAGTATGTTCCAGGCATTATGTGAGCTATTTACTGTGAGTGATTTCATGTTATCTTCCCAGCAGACCTCTGAGGTAGGTACTGGTGTCATCCCCATTTCATAGATGAGGAAACTGACACTAAGGGACATAAAATAAGTTTTTTGAAGTCACGAAGTGAATAAGAGGCAGAGCCAGGGCTTAATTGAAGTCCATAGCAATGAAAACATTGTGGAACTTATTCTTCATGAATGGTTTACAATTGAAACAAAATGTCACCTAGAAAATAGATGAAAATATGTTCAACAGAGTCTGGATTTTTCCAATGTTTACTACTGAATTTTCAGTCAGTAACAGATTGAACTTCCAGAAAGGTGTTGGTATCTGATTTTCTGCCTGCCTCAGAATGTGATTTGTCTGCCTTTGGGTAACCCAGCTTTGGGTAGAGAAGGAATTTGAAACCAGGAAATTCAACTCCAGAACTGGTGTTCTTCCCCCGCCCCTTTAAGTTCTGGGATACATGTGCAGAACGTGCAGGTTTGTTACATGGGTATACATGTGCCATGGTGGTTTGCTGCACCCATCAACCCATCATCTAGGTTTTAAGCTCTGCGTGCATCAGGTATTTGTCCTAATGCTCTCCCTCCCATTGCCCCCAACCTCCCGACAGGCTCCAGTGTGATGTTTCCCTCCCTGTGTCCATGTGTTCTCATTTTTCATCTCCCACTTATAAGTGAGAATATGTGGTATTTGCTTTTCTGTTCCTGTGTTCGTTTGCTGAGATTTATGGCTTCCATCTTCATCCATGTCCCTGCAAAGGACATTAACTCATTCTTTTTCATGGCTGCATAGTATTCAATTGTATATATGTGCCATATTTTCTTTATCCAGTCTATCATTGGTGGGCATTTGGGTTGGTTCCAAGTCTTTGCTTTTGTAAATAATGCTGCAATAAACGTATGTGTGCATCTGTCTTTATAGTAGAATGGTTTATAGTCCTTTGGGTATATACCCAGTAATGGGATTGCTGGGTCAGATGGTATTTCTTGTTCTAGATCCCTGAGGAATCACCACATTGTCTTCCACAATGATTGAACTAATTTACACTCCCAACAACAATGTAAAAGCATTCCTGTTTCTCCACAGCCTCACCAACATCTGTTGTTTCCTGACTTTTTAATAATCGCCATTCTAACTGACATAACTGGCATGAGATGCTACCTCATTGTGGTTTTGGTTTACATTTCCCTAGTGACCAGTGATGATGAGCTTTTTTCACGTTTCTTGGCCGCATAAATGTCTTCTTTTCAGAAGTGTCTTTTTATATCCTTCACCCACTTTTTGATGTTTGTTTTTTTTTTCCTTGTAAATTTGTTTAAGTTCCTTGCAGATTCTGGATATTAGACCTTGTCAGATGGGTAGCTTTCTAAAATTTTCTCCTATTCTGTAGGTTGCAGAACTGGTGTTCTTTTGATGTTAGGGTAAAATGATGGATATCACTGGGTTTAATAGATTGCCCTAGAGACAGAGACAATGTCTGGCTTCTCCCACACATACACACATTCCTGGTAGAAGCTGGAGTCTGTAGCTCCTTGTCTCTCATACGGAGAGACTGTGACTTTCCCTCTTATTTTAAAGTTATAGTTAATTGTAACTGCAATACTTTCAGATCATTTTGTCTATTCACAGAAACTAATTTGCTGCCAGTGATAGGGATAATCCATGATTTCTGAGACATCTACTTCCATAATTTCACAGTTCTAAGTCTAGAAAAATTATTAGAAGAACATTATTGGGTGGTCTTGGAACCAACCCAAAGAAAAATCATGTCCTGTGAACAGTAGGATAGATACTGAATCTAGTTTGTCTCACTTTAGAGCTAGTTCTTATAATTTCACTTGGACTATATATTTTTGTCCAGTCACTACTGTACAGGACATGGGTTTGGTGTGCTTTTCCCTCCCATGAGCCACTCAATTGCTTTGCTAAAAGCCCCATCACTTTTCCTTTGGTTTCCTTTGGTACACCAACCTCAACAGAGTCCACTTGGTTTGGAAGGGGTTGGCCCACACTGGTGGCAGGAGTGGGCACAGAATCCATGCCTGGCTCATCTAATTGTCCATACCTTCCAACAAGAATTGGTTCAAGTGATGGGAAGGTGACCCTTGCCAGGGTGATGAAGTGCATACCACAGACTTTTACTGGCTATACTGGGAAGCATACATTTTCTTTGGTACTGGAGAACTGGTAACGACAGTGCCAAATGTTGTTTGTTATTGAAGCTGAGTGAAGGGGCTCTTGAAGGATCCTTATTCAACTTTTGCATATGATTGGAAAGTTTGTAATAAAATTGTAATGGTGTAAGTCTACTATTTATACCTATAGAAGTAAAAGAGTTTTGCTGGGCGCAGTGGGTCACATCTGTAATCCCAGCACTTTGGCAGGCTGAGGTGGGCAGATCACGAGGTCAGGAGTTCAAGACCAGGCAGGCCAGTATGGGGAAACCCCATTTATACTAAAAAAAATGCAAAATTAGTGGGGTGCAGTGGCTCACACCTGTCCCAGCAACTTGGGAGCCTGAGGCAGGAGAATCTCTGGAATCCAGCAGGCGGAGATTGCAGTGAGCCGAGATCACACCACTGCACTGTAGCCTGGGCAACAGAGCAAGACTCTGTCAGAAGGAAAGAAAGAAAAGAAAGAAAAGAAAGAAAAGAAAGAAAAAAAGAAAGAAAGAAAGAAAGAAAGAAAGAAAGAAAGAAAGAAAGAAAGAAAGAAAGAAAGAAGGAAGGAAGGAAGGAAGGAAGGAAGGAAGGAAGGAAGGAAGGAAGGAAGAAAGGAAGGAAGGAAGGAAGGAAGGAGGGAAGGAAGGGAAAGAAGGAAGGAAGGAAGGAAAGGAAGGAAGGAAGGGAAAGAAGGAAGGAAGGAAGGAAAGGAAGGAAGGAAGGAAGGAAGGAAGGAAAGAAAGGGAGAGAAAGAAAAAGAAAGGAAGAAAGAAAAAGAAAGGAAGAAAGGAAGGAACAGAAAAGAAAAATAAAGAGAAGTAAAAGACTTGTTTTTTTTTAAGTTTTGAAATAGTTTCTTAGGGAGAGTAGGATTGAAAGAGTAGAGAAACGGGGGAGATAAAGAGGGAGTAGGGTTTGGGCGATTCCTGCTGTTTTTCTTACAAGCTCTTTGTTAGTAATTTAGTATTGTATTTCTACCACATATGTTTTCTACCCTATATAAGCATGACACCTTTTAAACAAGATAGATACAAACTGTATTAAAATTTACGCCACAGCTTGCATACCAACATAGTCTTCCATGAGTTGGTCTCTGCGAGTGTTTCCAGCTTTGCCTCCCACCTCTGTCCCTCGCTGTCATTATTGCAGCTGTGATGCCCACATTTCAGCTGTGCAAATGCAACCCTCATCATCATCTCTACAGACTGTTCTGTGCTTCTGGGTCATTCCTTTCTTCCAACTGGTCTTCCCTCCACTTCACAATAGAGTAGAGAAGTTTCTGATGTTTGGGCTTCCTTTTGGGTAGAACAACAAAAGTCAACTAGAAACATGTTCTTTTTAGAGTTATATTTTCAGAGTGAGGAATCATATATCGTTTATATTTTATCATAGGAAATTGAAACATTTTCACTTTTTCTTTTTTCCTGTTAAATCTTTAATTATCTTTAACCAGGACTTAATTAATCTTGACTTGTCTGCAATCTTTTGAAATGTGAGTAACTTCAACCTATATTTTCTCCATTAGCTAAATTTGGTGAAATAGTGTTTTTGATAAAACAAAACCTGCCCCGTGGGGAAGGGACACACTTTGTGGACGTGCCATTTGGGTCATACACAAAGGTGGGCCACTGGGGTGCGCCATTGAGCCAGCCAGGATAGCAAGAGCCACATTCTGTAATTCACGCAGAGGCATTTTATGAGCTAGTGGTGGCCTTGGAGAAGGGACAGCACTTCTCTGTATTAATTCGGACTGGGGTATCAGTATTTTTTAAGGTTTTCTTTTTTTTTTTTAAGCTCTTAACCCAGAAGTCATTTCCTCGAGCCATGTCTCTAAGCCTCATGCTCCCATAAAACCTGTAACTTCCTTTATATATCAGTCATCCCATTTGTAATTATTTGTTTAAAATCTCTCTTTCTCACTACATGGAAACTTCACAGGGGCAGGGACTAGACCTGCCCTATTCACAGTGTATCTACAGCCCCAAGGGCAGGGCCTGTCACATATCAGTTTTCGTGTAGGGGGCTATTGGATTGATACATTACTAATAAGAATGTATGATCATTGGAGAAGACTAGATGAGGATTTCCAACTATTGTATATGTTAGCTGTCTTTAGGCGGATCACCTGAGGTCTGGCATTTGACATCAGCCTGGCCAACATGGCAAAACCCCGTCTCTACTGAAAATACAAAAATTAGCCGGGTGTGGTGGCGCATGCCTGTAATCCCAGTTAGTTGGGAATCTGAGTCAGGAGAATCACTTGAACTCGGGAGGGGAGGTTGCCCTGAGCTGAGATCGTGCCACTGCACTCCAGCCTGGACAAAAGAGTGAAATTCCATCTTAAAAAAAAAGAAGAAGAAGAAGAAAAATACCTCTCTTATTTATCCCTATTCAAGAAAATGGTTTCATTATGCCAGAAAGAAGCTTTAGTGCAATTATAACCATTCTCCTATTTTTAGCTTCTGAATACAGGCTGCATTGTGAAAGTGAATTTTCCATTAATTCTTATTTCTCCTTTTCCTAGGGACTTATGTCAGAGAGTAGTATAAGCTATTTTCAAGAGTTTCTGTATTTTGAGAAAACAATTATTTATCTGACATGTCTTGGGCCCTATTTCTACTATATTTCTGTGTCAATTCCTCTCCTCTACTAATTAACATTTCCAGCCAAAGTTAACTACAGTGTAGACACTTTCATTTTGAATTAACATTTTTCCTATTCTGCCATGTTATTAGGTTCTGGAACACAGATACATCCCACAATAACAATAATGAAAAATTAAGAACCCCCCCAAAAAAATTCAAATTATTTTATGTGGTCTCCCAACTCCAAAACAAGACAGCTGAGATGCCTATACCTGGCACCTTCATACAGGTACATCTGATATGTTAGTCTCCATTTCTATAGAAGAAAACAAAAAGATGCTATTAACTTACTTCAAATTGTTGTCCTACTTATTGAATCTAACCTAGTTTCCTATTATAAGTTATTTATCCAGCCCCCTAGGCTGTCTTCACCAGGAGCTTTGAAATAGAAG